CCTGCGCTGAGGCCCAGAGAAGCATGACCGGGGGACGCTCCGCGGGCTGGGGCTGCAGGGGCAGTGTGAGCCGGGGCTGAGCCCCTGAGGCTGGAGCCAAGGGGCCAGGCTGGGTGGAGACGCATCCTGACAGCACAGGGCACGCTGGGGAAGCTCCTCGCTCAGCAGGACGAGGGGGATTTCGGCCTCCAGAGCCCTGCAGGGCAGGTCCCTGCCCCTCCCAGCCTCACTTCAGCTCTGTCTCCTCCTTGTCCCCACCTTGTCCCCTCTGTCGCAGCCACACTGCTCCTTCCAGGCCCCCTGGGGCCTTGCGCTCCGCCCCTTTGCAGGGTCTCTGGGCGGGCCTGGGACGCCCTGGTGCTCTGGCCACCTCGGCCTGGCCCCTCCTCCCCGCCCCGACCACCCGTCAAGGCTCCCTCCCTGGGCTCTCTTCCGGATCCTGCTCGGCTCGTGTTTTCAAATTGCTTGCTTGGCTATTCGCTCATTTGATGTCAGACTCTTTCCTTCCTGTCAGCTCCTGGCAGCGTCCGGCTCACAGTAGGCCTTTTACTGCGTAGGTGCCGAGTGACCCAATGGTGACCAAGCGAGCGGGTGGGGCAGGTGGGGGACGGGGCTGTCACGTGGTGAGGATCCATGTGCTCAAGTCTCGCACCAGAGAGCTAACAAGCTGTTTATTGCCAGGCCCGGCTTGTTAAACTCCAGAGGTGAAACCAAGGGCTTTAGAACATCTCTGAGGAAGGAGGTTATATAAACCAAGTCAATAAATATTGATGTGGCGTCAGGCTTTCACATTCAGAGGTGCTTTGTGAGGAAGCGGGAGTTTCTCTCCCTGGCAGGGATGGAGCACACAGGGCCACTGAACTCCATGAATCTTCCAGAAAGGGAGAGGCTGGCTCGGGGCTGCCGCACTGAAATCCACCTGCAGGAGATCTCAGCCTGGAACCAAGTCAGAACTCTGCAGCTCCCGCCCCCTCCCCCCTGCAACGGGTGCTGACTCTGTCGCGGCAGCGTCCTCCCTGAGCTGGCGGCCCTCCCGTCCCCCTGCACCACGCTCGTCTCCTAGGCCTTCTGGGCCACCGACTCTCCGCCCCACCGCCCAGGTCTGCCCCAGCACTTGGGGCACCCCAATGCATCCGTCTCCGCACTGCCCCCCACCCCCGCCTCCAGCCTCACCCCTGCAAACTGCCTCCTGTTGCCCTGGAGACATGCTTCCAAAACAGAATTCCGATCCTGTCCCTTCCCTGCTTGAAACCTTCAGGGACTCCCTGGCACCCTCCAGGTACAGTCCAAGTTAATCTGTTTTCTTCCCTCAGGCTGCTCCCTCACCTGCACCCTCTGGGCTGCCATACCGAGCTGGGATGCTTCCGGAACAGCGTGCTTTCTCCAGCTTCTGTTCCATGGCAGATGCCATTCCCTCTGCTTAGAGCCTTCTTCTTCCCCACCCTCGTGTTCTTCCATGAGGTCACTTCTGGGTCTCGTGCCTGACCCCCTGCCCCGGCTGGTCACGTCCAGTGCCCCCTGTGCTAAGGGTCCCTGTCAAGGTGCCACCTCTGTGTTGCAAGTGCCTGTGTCCTCGGTCCGTCTCCCCTCCCCCTGCGGACTGTGGGATCTCGGGGGCCGGTGTCTAAGCCTCCAGCACGTACTGTCTGACTTCCTAGACTCTTAGGGAATGATTGGCGTTGAGTTGCAGAACCCACCGAAGTTCAGGACAGAGAGGCAAACTCATCGTCAGCTAAAGCACCCACCATCCGGCAGAATTCTGGGGTTCCGGCCCACGGGAGCAGCCTGGCAGGAGTGAGCTTGGCCCAGGCAGGTCCCCGCGGGAAGGGACCCTTAGTCCACAGCCACAGAGGACACCCCGTCCAGTGATTGCACACAGGGACTACCTTGGGGCTTCAAAACACCCCAAGGCCTGGACTCGCCCCAGAGATTCTGAGGTACCAGGTCTGGGCTGGGGCCAGGGCATCAGGGCTGTCTAACACACCCAGGTGGCTCTAACAGCGTGCGGCTGGCGTGAGAACCACTCACGCGCAGTGGCACTGGTTGCACGTTGCAATCATGCAGACAGCCACGTCCGGGACCCATGAAATTAGAATCCTGGGGGTGGGGGGAGGGTGGAAACCCAGCCACCAGCATTTAAAAGCTCCGCAGCCACTTCTGATGTGAAGCGGAGTTGAAGCCACTGCACTGTGGGGACTGGCCTCCCCTCCCCCTCCTTCCCTTTGTTTCCAGAAACACTTGCCGAAGGCCTGCTCTGCTTGCGCTTGAATCTCTGTGATGCTTTGGGGACTCGGACCTTGCTTCTCCTAGGTGGGGGTTGTTAACGCAGGGAATGTCAGGAGTGGAAAAGCCCACCCCGCAAGGGGAACTTGTCTCATGGATGGGCACGCTGGGCCTCTCACTAACCTGCTGCCGACCAGGGGAGGCGTCCTGTCTGGGAACGCTCATGCCCGTATTGGAGACCTTGTCCTGCTCCCGGGCCTGCCAAGAGCCTGGGGCTTTGCTTATCAGGATGGGGTGGCACATGGTCCTTGGCGTGCGAGGCTTGCTGGGGGCCCCCCAGACGCTGTGTCAGGCTGACGGCAGTGGCAGGTGGGGCTGCAGCTCTCGCTCCCTCCTGTGCGTTGCTGTCCATGGACCTGCTATGCCTCTGTCTCCAGTGTCCCCACCTAATAGTGTCCCAGCTCTCGTGGCCGGGCCCAGGCAGTGTTCTCTGTGAGGCGAGGAGATGCTAGCAGGACTTTAAGGTCCTTTTGACAGAAGTAGTCACCACTTAGGAAAATAGCTCCCTGTCCCTGGGATAGAACTATGGTGCCAGGCTGCTGCCTGGGCTTTGGCATTTATTTTAAAAAATTGAGGTAAAACTCACATAACAGAAAATCAACCACTTTAACGTGAACAATTCAGTGGCATTTAGCACTTTGACAATGTGGTGCAGCCATCATCTCTTTTTAGTTCCAAAACATTCCCATCATCCCCAAAGGAGACCCCATACCCCCGAGCAGTTAATCTGCACCCCTGCCCCCAGGCCCTGGCAACCACCGGTCTGCATCTGTCTCTGTGGCTTTGCCTGTTCTGGATATTTCGTGTAAATAGAATCACAGAATGCATGACCTTGGGGGTCTGGCTTCTTTCCTTTAGCATAATGTTTTGGAGGTCTGTCCGGGCTTGTGGCATGTACTTCATCCCCATTTATGGATGGATAATATTCTGCTGTCTCACTAGATCGCCGTTTGTTTATCCATTCATCGGTTGGTGGGCATTTGAGCAGTTTCTACCGTTTGGCTCTTGGGAAATCTGGGCGTTTGCAATCTCCGTACAGCTGTCTACCGAACATCTACCGACTGGGTGTTGCCAGGTCCTCAGCATGGAAAGGTGGTGGTCTTGGGCAGCCCCCTTTCCTGTACTACTCAATGCTGTCGTTGGGGGTTCCTGGGGATGGGTGAGTACGTCTCCCGGTATCTCTCACTCCAGCTCCAGCCCCCACTGACTTCTCCGTCTCAGCCCCACATCTTGCCTGGTGCTTCCTGCACCCCACACCATTATCACCCCGGTCCTGGGCAGAAGGCTCCTACTGCAGGCCTGGGGTAATGGAGGGGTGGACACTGTGTCGACAATAGTTTAAAACTATTTTGCACATCGCCGTCCTAAGACTTCAACACGCACATGCATGAAGAATTCCTCACAGACAGACTTCCCTCACATCCACCTTTCTCTTTGCCTTTTCAAATTCCCCCCGTCCAGCACGAAAGCTGCCAAGAGGCAGCTCCGTTCGTTTGGAGCCACGTGGACTCCCATCTCCTCCTGTCCTTATACACACGCCCTGGGTGGGAAGGGGGTGGGACAGGCACCCCCAACCTTGATTTTGTTTTTCTTCTGAATCAAAAGGAACCTTCTTTCCAGGAGAGGAATTCTGCCATATTCCTAGGCCAACTGACCCGAAGGGCCACTGGCTTTTAAAAATGACACGCACAAAAAGTCTACTGATGGCACTAAATGCCCCAGTATCACCGGCTACCCAGGGTGTTTGCTCACAGGCAGTGAGATGGGCCAGTGCAGGCCTGGAGGCGCCTCTAGAATTAGCCAATCACTCCTTCCTGACAGATCCGATGGTGGGCCCAGTTTGTTTGGCGTTGCGTCATTGTGTTAAAGGTGCTTGCTGCTCATGGATAAGAGCTGGGAGTGTACCCCAAATGAGTTGGAGACTGTGCCTGTTTTGGGCAGACGAGGGCCGTGGCTTGCCCAGGCCTCGCGAGGATCTCTCCGGCTGCCACGCACTGCACACACCAGAGGGCGAGAACAGCTCTGGCCAGAAGGCTGCTAGGTGCTCAGGCGACAGGTGTCGGGGCCTGGGCCAGGCTGGACGTGACTAAGGTGGAAAGAACAGGTCAGACTGTGGACGTGTTTCGAGGCAGGAGCGATGGCTCCTGCTGGCATTGGGTGAAGAGCGTGAGAAAAGGAGAGGGAAGGGTGACTTCGGGAGGTTTGGGCTGAGGGACTGCCGGGCGGAGCCCATGTTTTCCGAGCTGAGGAAGAATGGAGGTGGAGCAGATTTAGGGGGGGAGGAGAGCAGGGGTTCTGTGTGGGGGTGCGTTTCAGGCCCGTATCAGATGTCCGCGCAGGGCAAAGGGGCAGCCGACACGTGGGTGGAATTCCGTGGTGGTGCTGCGGGTGGTGAGGGAAGACAGGAAGCACCGGCAGTGACGGCCTAATGGCCAACCCCACTCCCTACGGGCGGCAGGACAAGTGAAATGAGGGGAAAGTCACATGTTGGGTCAAAAAAGAGATTACCCCGAAGAATGGGGAAACTGAGTCCTAGAAAGTACAGGTAGTTTGCTTAAGGCTGCAAGTTAGAGACAAAGCCAGGATGCAGGGGGTTGCTTGGGCCCTGGGCCCCCTACCCCTCTAACGTGCCCCTCCGCCTGCCAGTTCGAGGCTTGCACTCATGGCTGGAGGAGGCAAGCTGTGGCTGGGTGACTCTCGGTTTTGTCTTCCCGCAGGTCACCATCCTCGTCAGCCTGGCCCTCGCTTTCCTCGCGTGCATCGTGTTCCTGGTGGTTTACAAAGCCTTCACCTACGACCACAGCTGCCCAGAGGGGTTTGTCTACAAGGTAAGGGGCTCGTGGCAGGTGGGCAGGCGCAGCTCACTGCCAGGTTCAGTTAGAGGGTTCATGGATATCTTCTCTTCCTATGGCGGCCTCCCTACCACTGCGTAAAATGCAATCTGTGTCTGGCAAGGAGTTCTCAGGTTTTCACGAGGGCCTCAGTCTCCAGCAGGCAGTAGAGTTCCTCCCCAAGATGGTGCCCTCTAGGGCTGGGAGGCGGTCCAGCTTTGGGCTACACATAGTGGGGCGGGGGACCCACTACCACTTCACGTTGACTGCTCCATCTTCAGACACCTCTGCTGGGCACGTGTTTTCCTGGCTTGGGGGCTGGTTGCTTCACCCCACAGCGGCCCTGCAGAAGTGTGACGACAGCGAGCTGGTGCTTTTGAGGCTGTCTGAGGTTCTGTCCCCAAGTTTCCAGCTGGGCGCCTTCCCCCGCTCTCCCTCTGATGGCACTCCTTCCTTAATGAACTGCACCAGCTCATGACTTTAGGAAGTCTCCTCGCCCTCTGAGCCTCAGTTTCCTTGCCTGCAGCATGGCGGCTGATAATGCCGGCCCACAGGACTTTTAAGGCGACAAGTTAAGTAAAATTACTTAACAAAGGACCTGCTAGATAATGGGCTCTCAACAAATGTCAGTTGCAATAAAGACAGAGTCTGTTTTAGACCTAGAACAGGTGACAATATTAATATTTATAGTTACCGTTTACTAAGTGCCTATCCTATGTCAGGCCCTTGCTAGCCATTTTCATAAACATTGTCCCAGTTGGGTTGTACAACCTTTCTGCAAAATAGGTATTATCACCCCCATTTTGCATATGAGGAAGTTGATGTTAAGCGTGTTTAGTTAAAAGGGTTCTCCAAGACATCACAGCTATTATGTTTCAGTGTGTGGGGGGATCAAATGGGAAAAATTCCAACTTGAAAACATATATCTTTGGTTCCACTTGTGACTACCTAGGACTACACAGCCTTAGTGGTTAGCAGCCGAGTTCCCCAAAGATTGGAAAGATTAGAGGACAGTGGAACAGACCATGATATAGCCACACAAAATTCCACACAACTGCAGAAAGAAGTGAGGAAGCCTCTATCCATGGACATAGACTATCCTCTGAGATAATAGGACAAATGAAGGAAAAAAGGCTCTATCTTTGTGTGAGAAAAGGGGAGATAAAGATATTTGCTTTTTTTTCCAGAAAGAAACTCTGGAAAGATCAATTTTAAAAATTAATAAAAATCGTTTCTCAGAAGGAAGGGAGGGAGAGAGTGGAGGGACAGGGATGGAAGTGAGGCTTCTCTGGATAGATCTTGCTATATATTTGTCCTTGAAATATGTAAATGTGTGACATATTTATAAAATAAATAAATAAGAAACATGGCAAACAAAGAACTTAATTCTATATCATGTCGAGGCCATAAACCTGCAAAGAAAACAAATATTTCCAATGACCATAGAGTGAAGTATATTGACTTTGCCCCCTTGGTGGATACATTCTAAGGACACACAGAGCTGCAGAGAAATCCCCAAGTCCACTCAGTGGTCTAACTCTTAGTAATGACACTGGTGTTATTTTGTGACTGTTCTATACATCGTGTAGGATAATGCAAATAGACATTTCCATTAATGTTGTTAGGAGCTAAGATTTTTGATATAAGAGAAAAGAGATATGAATAAAAAATCAAGGAATTAAAATACAGTCAGTGGCTGTGAGCGACGGCCCAGAGAGGCGACCAGAGGACGGATGAATCAGGCGGTAGAGGGGCCGGGCTGGGGTACCGGCGGTGTCCACCTTAGCCGCACAGTGCGCAGCGGAGGGGGCTGGCCTCGAAGCAATAGCAAGGTCAGGTTCAGGTCTTCCCGCTTCATTTGAGAGGCCGCTTTGGTGACGGTGGTGATGGTCCTGGGCAGGCCCTCTGCGTGCCAGGCTGGGGTCGGAAGCTGTCACCTGCTCTCTGGCTGAGAGCCTGATGCAGCGGTGGCTCCCGGACGGGGCGGCCGTGTCTCTGAGTGGGCTGGAAGCAGCTCCCTGAACGACCCCTGACTCAGTCTCTTTCTTCCGCAGCACAAGCGCTGTATCCCGGCCTCCCTGGATGCGTACTACTCATCCCAGGACCCCAACTCCAGAAGCCGCTTCTACACGGTCATCAGCCACTACAGCGTGGCCAAGCAGAGCACCGCCCGGGCCATCGGGCCGTGGCTGTCCGCAGCCGCTGTCATTCACGAGCCCAAGCCGCCCAAGACCCAGGGCCATTAGAGGCCTCCCCCAGCCAGGATGGGGGTGGCCTGGAGGGGGGACCCCGTGGGCTACGCCAAACTCCAGTTACAAGACAACACTGTACTAAGGGATTTGGGGGTGGGGGCGGGGCAGGGTGGGATGGGGGAGGAACTCATCGAAAATATCGTGCACTGGAGTTGTCTGAATCAATATTTCTTTTTGTCCCTTGATATTGTTGATTCGTCCCCAAGTCAGGCTCATGTACAAAGGCATGTTTCGTGTTGATTGTTCCCATGTAAGATATTTTCAAAGCCACTGCTTATTCTTTGTTAGGAAAATGTAAACACAAAAGGAAAGAAACAAAGAAAAAGAACAAAAAGCATCAAACTGGCTCCATGGGGAGATGTTGAAGGGAAAGAGCACGGACGCCGTGGGCTTCTTAGAGGAGACGGCACTGCGGCTCCAGCGGGATCGGGGGTGCAGATGTGTGAGTGGCAGGCGGGGTGTCTGGGCCGCCTCTGTCTGGTGTTCAGGACAGGAACTTGGGAGGTTAGGGGCGGCCAAGCCGGAGAGAAGGACTGACTTGGCGTTACTAAGCCCAGAGTGCGCAGTCAGACGCAGGGCCTCTGGCGCCTTTTGCCGGCTGGACGGACTTCCGGGCCGCGAGCGCGCCGGGCAGACCCACGCGCGGGCTCTGCAAGCTCGCCCTGCGGGGAGGGGTTTCGCGCCAGCAGACACTGAGGAGTGGGCAGATTTTCTTTGTATTTTTTTTTGGTTTTTCTAGACCCGCCTGGATCTTGCCCACGTTCAGGGGCAGAGAGGGAAGAAGGAAGGAGAGAGGCTTTGAGGAGAAGGAGGGCGCAGGACAGGCATGCGGCACTTGACCAAGCCATAAGCACAGTCTCCCAGTTTTTAGATGTTTGTTTGTTTGTTGTTTCCCAAAGTGCTAATCACAACAGCAACAACAATAGGGTTGTAACCAGGAACCTCGAGTGACAGCCAGGAAGAGATTTAAGGTTGGGGCTGCAACAATGCCAGATCATTTCTGAAGGAAGCTCAGAAATGTGACTGTCTTTTGCCCACTCCGTTGTGTTGACAGGGACTTTCGTTCAAACTCCCCACCTGGTTCTAGAAGCTCCTGACGAGGAGGCAGCGTCCAGACTTGACCAGGCCTCCCGCTGCCCTGGACGGCTGCAGCCCCCGCCTCCCCCACAAATGCCAGTGTTGCGGGGTGTCGGCCCCAGGCCCCAGGGGCCGGGCGGCGGGGGGCTGGCCATCTGAGGTGCGGTGCCGGCCCCGCCAGTGTCCGCAGGCCGTGTCAGGGCGCTTTGTGGCTTGCGCTGTGGCTGCAGTCGCACACAACAGCTGGTGACGAGACTGGCGTAGCTCCACTCCCCTGCCAGATGCTCCCGTCCAGTCTCCTCCCCGCCTCCGCCCTCCCATCACCCGAGTCACCTGTAAATGCATTTGTCATCCGAAGCGGAATAACAAATCGTCCCTAGCAAAACCGCTGAGCGCTTTATAATTTTGTGGTGTATTTTTGTCAGTAGGTAGCAGAGGCCGAAGTATTTTTTGGTGTAATTCTTGCAATTTTCTGACAGGAAACAAATAAAGATAGATGTGTCCGAGAGTCTCGACTTTCCTTCACAACGTTTAAAGTCTTCTGCTCGGCCGCCTGAGGGGAAGGACTCGGGGCAGGGCCTCAGGGCAGGGCGTCGCGGGCCGGAGTGGAGCCGGGCAGGGAGGGACCTCGTTCTCAGCTGGGGCCTGTGAGGACACCGGGCCGGGCAAGGGCCAAGAGAGCCTCCTGGGTCGCCTCGCCGCCCAGCGCCCGCCCTCCTGCGGCACCTGCTGGGCACCGTCTGAGGGCCAGGTGGCGCAGATGTGGGACCCACAGCCACGCAGGACTCCGAGCCAGGCCCTCAGGTCTGGAGATGTCGTCACAGGCGGAAATAGGCAGCTGCGAGAGAAGGGTCTGGTGACGCCTTGACACAGGGGAGCTGGGGTTTAGCCAGCCGCCACCGAGGAGGGTGACAAGCCACGAGTGGGGTCTTTGCAATCAGCTCCTTAAAGGCTTGTTAGGACCTTGGCAGGGAGGGGTTGTTGACCCATCAGACAGATGGAGAGACTGAGGCCCAGAGGACCGAGAGACTGCCTTGGGGCCATAGCAGAGGAGCGGGGACCCAGACCAGGTGTGTGGGACTCCTGTGGCCCCATAGACAGCAACACTATCAAGGTTAAAGTTCATGCCCCAGAAGGTCAAATCGCAGTTATCATAAACGTGAACCAGCTTAATCAGTATTGATGGTCAATGTTAAGAGCAGCAAACGCGTCAATGCCCCTTGCTCCATGCCGAGTTCTAAGTGTTTTATGTGCCTCAGTGCATACAGCCTCCCACCAATTCTGTGAGGTGGGTGCCCCCACCTTTGGCGCCACTGCTGTCCCCATCGCCGTCACATCCCCATCTAAAGATGCAGAAATGGAGGCGAGAGCACGGGGGCAGCTTGCCCAAGGTCGTGTGCCCAGAAAGTGGCAGAGCTGTGACCCAACCAACCCCTTTGGGAGCAGTGTCTCAGCGCCTGCTGTTCAGCAGTGCCCCCACCTCTGCGTCTTGCTCTGTAGCTTGGAGTCTGTGTCCACACACCGTGTCCTCACACCTGTTGGCAGGCCACGTGAGGAAGGGACCAGGATTGATGGGGGGGCTGGAAGCAGAGGCCCCAAGCATGTGGCTGTGCTGGGGGTAGCGGCCAAGTGTGTGGTGGGCAGGGGAGACGAGGGGCCCCAGAGGGCGCCGGACAACCCTACCCACGGCCACAGCCTTGCACTTCCAGGCTGGCCTTCGGGGACAGTGAGCCGGAGGGCACAGGGCTCTGAGCCGGCAGCCCACTCACGAAGGCTGGTTGATCCATATGGCCATCACGGAAACGCCCAATATTTTTTCAATTACACAAAGTCAACTGAAGACTCAATGAACACATGTTCAAACATTTTGTCATAAATGGATTTGCCACTCCATTGCTTCAAAAAATAAACCAAAGCTATCTCTTCTCTGGAATGAACAGGCTATGGGTGTACGGCTGGAAACAGGGAGAGCGGGAAGTATAGAGACGGGTGGCAGATATTTCTATTTTAGGAGTGACCCTAGGGCCATGTGCTATTCCTGGCAGAGTCAGACTTTTCTCATCATAATCAAGGAGGAAACCTACCTCCTCCCACAAATACATCCAGGGGGTGGGACATCAGGTAGAAGAGTTCAGCCGAAGAGGTTTGGGGCGGGGGAAGGTCCTCTGAATCTCGGAGGACGGTGTTGCAGAGCCCAGCCTCGGGACATGCAGTGATCATAAAATCAGCACCTTGGTTTGTAGAACAAGCTCTGTGTGGCTTTTTTTTTTTTTTTTTGCCCATTTTAAACCCTAGTCACCAATGTTGGGAACCTGTCATGAGAGTCTCCCAGGGAAGACGGGGGAAGCTGTGCGAGAAGCCACAGGGCAGGGCAGAGCTCTGCGAGGGGAGGGCATGTCGTGCGGGTGTCAGCCTGGCCTCTTGGAAGAACTGGCCTTGGAGCCTGGCCTGGGAGGACGGGTTGCACGATGGCAGGAAGGATGGAGGAGGGTGGAAGAAACACACCGCAGAGCTGCCCTTCCAGGCAGTGCGGCAGCATCGCAGGCTGGGCAGGAGGAGAGCCCGGGGCTTCTCCTCCCAGACGCTCCAGGAGTGCCACCTGTGCCCACGCTGGAGGTCACGGGCAGCTGCGTCTGCCCGCCGGGGGCCGCGGTCGGGGGGGGGGGGGGCAGCGAGGCAGCGGCTGGACAGCAGTCACGTGCTGGGGAGAGGCAGAGATGGCGCCGGGTGATCCTAGCGACGGTCCGGTCCGGAGATATTTAGGGAGACATACGTTTTTTCTGGAAGACGGAAAGACTACCGTCGGAGCTGCTGTTGGTTGATTTATGTCCCTTCTGCTCCCACGGTGCGCTCTAATCTGATGGGGGAGTTGTGTGGAAGAAGCAGCAGATTCAGTAATTTTCCCAAGAAGCACAAAATACCATCTCTTTTAAAAACAGCACTCCTGAGCAGTTGAGGGAAAAGGACTGGTTTCCATGGCAACGTCAATGCCATTTCCCATGGAGCAGACTCGGTCTAGCACAGCAGGGTGTTTATCTGACTGTCCTTTTGTCAGAAATGATCTCTTCCTGGGAACACAGACGTAGAGTTCAATTAGTCAGAGTTGCCCTCAGAGACACCCGCCCGGCCACCCCCGCCTCCCTGCTCTCTGTCGCCTCTCTCTGAGTCTGTCTTTGTCTGTTTCTGTCTCGGCCCCCCGTCTCCTTCCAGGGGAACAGTGACAGGGGCTGTGGACTCGGGTGACGTGGGTTGTTTTCCAGTTTGCCCCCTGGCGAGCGCTGTGCGGTCTGGGGGCGTGGGGAGTGCGTGGAAGAGCCTGGGAGGAGAGCGGCCAGCCCGGGGTCAGCCAGCCCGGGGCCAGCCAGCCCGGGGTCGGCCAGCCCGGGGTCGGCCAGCCCGGGGTCGGCCAGCCCGGGGTCGGCCAGCCCGGGGTCGGCCAGCCCGGGGTCAGCCAGCCCGGGGCCCTGCGCCGGGCCGGGCCTGCGCCACTTTCCTTCCCGTCTTTCCACTGCAGCTTCCTCATCTTTAAAATTGGGTTAATAATTGCCCCTACCTCATTTCGTGAGAGTTCGATGAAGCAGTGTTTAAAGATTCACCTGTGGCAGTCGCTCGACACCTGCAGCTACTGTGGATAAGCTCGCACTCAGTCTCAGTCTCCTCATCTGTGAATCGGAATTATTTATAAATCCCTCTCTGCTCCTAATAGGGTTGCTGAGGGTGAAAATAAGGTAATGGCCTTGAAATGACCATAACATAGAAACCTGCTCCCTCCTGTCTGTCCCAGGCCCCACCCCTTCCCCCAGGTCTCCCTGACATCTTGTGCCATGTATGTCCCAACACAAAGCCGCCGCCGGCTACCCTGTGTTCCCATGTCTGCTAACAGTTTTAAATTACTAAATTTAGTTACACAAATACATGATTTTTAAAGATAAAATTAACTTACAGTATTGCTTTGGGGTCTCTGCCACATTTTCCAAAACAATTTTGACCAAAGTCTTTATGTGCATTAAAAAATAACAAAACTACAGACTTTATTCAGATCTCACCAGTTTTTCCCCTAAAATCCTTTTTCTGTTGCAGGATCTCGTCCAAGCACCCACGTTGCATTTCATTATCTCCTTAGTCTCTTGGGATCTGCGACAATTCCTTAGTCTTACCTTGTCTTTCATGACCTTGACACTTTCGAAGTGCTGATCAGGCATTTTGTGGACTGGCCCTCAATTTTGTCTGATGTGTTTCCAGGATTGCACTGAAGATACGGGTTGTGGGGAAGAGCTGCAGCGAAGCAGTGTGCCCTTCTTAGAGCATCCTAGCAAGGGGTATGTGGCTTAGGTAAGTCCTACCCCTGGTGAAGTTACCTTTGATCCCTTGATTTAGGTGGGGTTTGCCAGGTTTCCCCATTACAATGTTACTATTTTTTCCCTTTGCATTTAGTTAAAATTTGAGGCAAGTTACCTTGAGGATCATGCAGATACCCCGTTTCTCCTCTCACACATGAATTTGAGCGTTATTCAGTGGGTCTTGCCTGAGCAATCACTACTATAGCGTTCTGATAGCAAGTTCCCACTTCCCCCATTTCTTTTACATTTATTAACTAGAATTCTCCTCTGTGGAAGAGTTGTCCCTTCTCCACATTTATTTATTTATCCAATCATTCATCTATATTAGTATAGACTCATGAATATTTATTTTTTCTTTAGATTAGAATTCAATGCTATATTTTCTTGCTCAATTATTTCAGTTTTTGTCATTGAGAACTCTTTCAGATCAGCTCTTGTGTCTTTTTGACACATGTCATTTTTTTAAACACTTCTTTACTTTCTGGCATCACAGGTACGGTGGGCTCATCATGTATTTATGCTTTCCTGATCCTTGAATCAACTGTGTCTCCAGGCAGCCCTGGTTCCTTTTATGAGAGAATGATATTTAGAAACCAAGATTTGGATGTTAGATGTGCTCAATGCTATAGGGGTGTAATAGCTTCTCGTCTCTCTTGGTATATAAAGCTAGGAAATTACAGATATGCACTAACCCATGTATACAGTTGTCATCCATCTATCTATCTATCTATCTATCTATCTATCATCTATCTATTTCTCTCTAAATCAAACAAACGTGAGTTTATTTTGGTCCCTCTTACTCTAATGCAAAACCATAGGTTTATTCTAGCATTCTGTCTTCGCTTGCTTATAACATTTTAACTTGTTTCTCTGACACTGGGAAATATGACTGTATTATCTACAATATATTTTCTTATTCATTCATAGCTAGCATACATGTAAAGTCATGTCAGCTACATGTTATTTGTGGCATTTAGAATTTCTGACCCTGCTATAGACACTTTCTGAGTCATTAATGTTGTGTTGGAGAACATACCATCTTCCTTTGCATTTGATTGTAAGGACTTATAAATAAAGCCACTTATTTTCTGAAGGCTAACATTTTTGGAGGGAGCAACCACACATTGCGTTATATTTAAGCTGAGTTTCCCAAGGACTTACCACTAAG